TTATTTAATAGTATATAAAAGTTATATAAAAATATATTATAAAAAATTTATTCCTATATCACTATTCATTAATTAAATATGTAGGTAAAAATTAATTAAAAATTAATCAAATAATTAGATGTAAATAGTTTGATTAATAATGAGAGGGTTTAAAAATAAAAAACCAAATATATAATAAAAAAATTTTATCTATTTTTGACGCAGTTTTGGTTCTAATTTTTAAAACCAAAAAATTTCAAAAAGGGTTAACCGAACCAACATTTGCCCACCCCTAAACCCCACTGATAAAGTAGAATCAAACAAGGGGAAGTGGGCCTTTTCCTTTTCAGTTTTCACCATCTTGAAAAAGGTCCAATAATATGTTCGGCCTTAAAAATCACCTTACCATAAGAAGAAACATCCTTCATGGTTTTCCGCCATAAACAAGTAAAATGGATGACATTTTCAAGGCAATGCAATCCCAAATTATTTAAAGGTACATGTGGTAATACCTAGGAGGGATGACTCGTGGACATGACCATAAACTCATTATTACCAACACATACTACTCAACCACCTCTCTCTTCTCTTAAATTCTCACAACCATATAACTCTTACATTACTCACATTTAGGGGATTTGGAATTCAATCTATTTGTGACAAAAGAAGAAGCTAGCGTGTCGGAAGCTAAAGCCATCAACTAATTGTAAGGAGAAGTAGAAGAGCGGAGGTTGAGGAGAACGAGAATCTATGGTGATTTTGACATGTCATGGTCTCCACTAAATAGAATTGGAAATGGGAAATTGGAGTGTTAAAAATGAAAATTTCTATGAATATTCTTCTTGGTATATAACAAGTTAAATTAATTTTAATTATTAACACATAAGTTAAAATATTTTTATTTTATATTTACTTAAATTTATATGAATCGATATAAAGTTTATTTTTAATAATATACATTAAATTTTCATTACATGAGTGTATTGTTAATGTCATACAAAGATTATATAAAAGGGTGTTTAAAGTTAGAAGTGCAAAGAGAGGAGTCCTAAATGGACAGGACATGGAGTCCACTCTAATTAACGCACGCTTTCTTCTTTCTCATTGACTAATAAAGCACATTCAACAGAGTGAATGCGAAAGAACAGAGAGGCACAGGCTGTTGCTGTCTTCATTGGATTTGGGCGTTTACCTCTTCCTCTGAAATCTTTCTCTTGATTTTGTTTGGATTTTGTGTTCTCACGTGACTCTCATAACTCCATTTAATTCTCCTCTCCTTAGGGCTGGCCCAAAGGCTTGATATTTAGAAGTTAGCAAAACACCACAATTCATTTATTCAAAAACATGATGAGATGGATTTGGAGGTTGTGCTGTCCATTGTGTAGAAGCCAGGAGAACACAAGACATGATATTCTAGTCATCCACTGTTGAGATTGTGTTTTGACCTAACAAAGGGATAAATTAAAGTTGGACTCTATCCGTATCACATTTGTTTTTTTTAATAGTTTTTTATAGCCGAAGTTAGATAGAATGTCATTAAGAGTTAAAATTTTGGGACTAGTAAAAAGATAATTAAGAAATGAAAGGAATATTCTTACATTAGTATAAAACCAAAAATTTTATTTTATTTTTAGTTATGGTTATATATTAATTTATTAAAGTAATCTAATATTATTTAAAATTTATTAATTTTATTTAATTTGAATATTAAAAATTAAAAATTAACAAAATAATTAATATTTATTATTTAATAAATTAAAATTAAGTTATAGATTGATATTATCAAAAATCATAACTAATTCTAAAAGAAAAACTATAAATATTAGTCCAACTAAACAAAACTTGTGTGACATTAACGAAATCTTTAGTGTTCTAACTGCCCCCGTTTCTTGGCATATCAATTTTGACGAACAATTACGTCGTCCCAGATGAATGATGGATCTTAATCAAATTACAAGAATAGGAGTGGGTTATGATTAGGGTGTACTTAATAACAACTACTTAAGTCAACAATCTAAATAACTCAATGATTATTAATTTTTTTTAGAAGTATTGGATTCTAAATTCGAGTTGCATGACATGCAGGTAAAGTTTTTAAAACCAAATCGGTTATTGAACCATTTTCAAATTTGGTTTTTGGTTTGATTGGTTCAACTGGTTGAATCGATAAACTGACCGATCCAAACAACAAGGGAGAATCTGATGAGGGGGCAAGCAATTTTGTAATTTTATTAAAATTAAGGGTTAAAATCGGTATAAGAAAAGGAATGGTAAGGGTGAAATTGAAAAAAATAAAAAAAAGATTGCATGAAAAATTGAATCGACAGTTTTTCTGGTTCTACTGGTTCCATCGGTTTTATCAGTTTTTACTGGTTTTGACTTCAAATGGTTTTTTTATATAAACCAAACCGTTTTTATTATCGGGTATCGATCTAATTGATTCAATTGACCAGTTCGGTTCAATTTTAAAAACCTTGCATGCAGGTGTGGTGAGATAAGAAACAAGAAATAATTGTCTTTCATTGTGTAATCAAAATTAAAAATAATAATAATAATGACTAAAATGACTTGATGATAATTGTCTTAGTAAAATTAAGAAGTCCTGCATTTAGGTCTGTATAAGGTAAATAAGTAAATGCACAAGGGATGGGGAAGAACTTGAACTTGAACTTGAATTTGAATATGGGGATGATGAGCAAACCACGATTATGTAGAATACCAGGATGAAGATTGTAGTTATATCTATAATCACAAGTATAGTTATGATTCTCTTGAACATGGAGAATTTTGGGAGAAGGGAGAATGTTTTTTCAAATAATTAGTTGAAGTAAAATTCTTAATCTATTTGAGTTTAAACTCTTAAGTTTAGTTGTGCAAGTATAGTTATGATTACTTATTAATTTATAAAATTTACTTAAAAATTATTTGGTGTGCTTGATATTATATATTTTTATAAAATTTTAATTATTAATTACAATATTTAAAAATTTTGATTTACAAGTTAATTTTAATTTATTAAATAATAATAATTTTATTAATTATTAATTATTTTTAATAATTAAATTAAATAATATTAAGTAGTATGAACAAAATTATAAATTACCACAACCACACCCGTACAATCAAATTTAATTGTTCCTCTGGTTTGTCAATGACAATGTGATGAACATGGGATGCAACTCTTTTCTACCAGTGCTGTTTAAGTTCTTGTTTTTTTAAATTATCTCTGCTTTTGTAGCTCAAAGCCGTCCGCACTGCAAAAATTTATGTGATTGCCACAAATGAATCAAATGTATTAGCTGGGAACTTTTAAGTAGTATCTTATATTACAATTTCACTTTTTCCTCTCTCTTTTTTTTTTTTTTCTTTATAGGATACAGAGTTAATCTACATGTTTTTTGCATTAATCTTTCAGCATTTGTAATCACATTAAATTTTAATTAATTTAAAACCAAGTTACATCAAATCTTATTTAAAAAAAAACTCTTTTAACGTTATTTTTTTGTTCAAAATATTTAAATTTAAAATTTATTTTAAAAAAATTAAACTTTTTTCATTCGATCCAACGATGATTGGTTGAGTTAATCTATGTGTATGATCCTTTGTACTCTCGTGTTTAATTCAGGTCAGTGAGGCAAGTACTGGGGCCACCATATAGCCCATGAGGTTGA